TACCGCGAATGGCACTGGACTACATCGGTTCACTTCCTTTCTAAACTGATTCCACTTTGAACCAAAATTTTCACTGCAAAACAGAGATTCGACAATGTCCACAAACATCCGTTGTTTTCATGGAAAACTGCACTGAAATATGGCAAAGTCGCAGTTAATATCTCAAACTGAATGAAACGCGTGAACCTCATCTAATTCCGTCGAATGTAAACCATAGATGCCATCTGGTACACTGAGATTAGATCCATCGAAAAGTTCCAAATCTGATACTACATACCTCAGTTCTGAATCGTCCTGTTGTACCTGAAAAATAACAAATATGCCTTAAGCAACTTCACGATAAATGTCCGCTTATGAATAGGATACATGGTAAGAAACCGAGAAATTCTTATCGTACTAAAAACGCTTAGATTGAAATAGTAATTCATAGCTGATTATTATTAATTCCGTTCTATAACTTAAAAAAAATTCATAGTTAAAAACTAATAAATAAAGCTTTGAATGACCTATTAAGGTCAGAAGTCAAAAAACTAAATTTAAAAATCATAGTTTTTATCTGAGAAACTGCTTGAGTTTAGTTGAAAGTTCACTGTGGAGGGCATAGTCGATAAAATTTGTAGCAGTAATATACGAAAAAAATGTACATCATAGCATACGATAAGTAGTATTGAAAATAGAATGTATCAAGTGTTAAACTCTTCACAACTGTTTTAAGATAATGCACTCAAATTGGCAATTGAATTTCGAAGTGTGACGTGCAAAATATTTGTCACAGTGGATGACCCGGAACAGATGAGAGGTGGTAATGACTTTATCCCCGACTAGGCTTTGGATCGACTGAAGCTTCCTCAGCTTCGACAGTATTTATATGTATTTTCGTTTTACAGTTTTCGGCACTGTCAAGAGGTCAGCGAGTTCCCAGAACTTGAGAGTTTCTTGTTTCTAGTGTCAGTTGTCAATTGCCAGATGCTTAGTGCAGATGGTGTTTTTCTGGTCATGAATCTGATTCGATGGCCGAGGAGGTTTTCACCTGATCATGCCATTACCCATCAACGAAGCTGGAATCGAACGCGCAGCAACAGCTAGCGTTTCTGTGGTTTTTTATCTGCCCGACTACTTCGCAGCTAAGAGTTATCACATTTTTAATGGAAAATTATACTCGCAACGTGGCACTGCAATCGTCAGCCTTTGCAGTAATTTTATGCAACTCACAAACGATTACAAGAGACTTGATAAATATTCTTTGTTTCATTCAAGTAATTATAATTTTTGGTGCACAACAAGCGCAATTCGATGCTCCTCAAAGCTTCGATATTTTGTGGCTTTACCTTCACATC